AGCCGGCGCGTGAGACGTCGGGCTGGACTTCCTGGATCCTTGAAGAAGCGGCTGGTCCGATTCGGCCCAGCTTGTGACCCGGTGGCTCCGAGACGTCTGATGGATTACTCTGCGCCCTGCCTTGTGAACTTGACAGACTGAGGGTGAGCTGGCACAGCGCCACGGCCATTCAGCTCGAGGACCTTGCCAGGGTGGGATGGCTGGGAGAATCTGCGCTTGGTTACGGGCTCTGAGCTGGAAGAGATGTTGCCCATGCGCGATCCTGGTGCTGCAGCCCAATTCACGGTGCCTGTGCGCGATCTCGGTGCTGCGGTCCCGCCGCAGACCCGGTTTGGTCTGGTCAATGCCAGGTCAGTGCAGAACAAAACTTTTATTCTTCGGGATTTTTTTATTCAACATGGCTTGAGTTTTCTGGGCATCTGTGAGTCCTGGATCCCGTTTGGTGACTCAAGCATCCTGCTGGAGCTGGTACCACCTGGCTGCTCCTGTTTTAATATCCCTGGATCGCGGGGCAGAGGTGGTGGGCTGTTTGTTGTTTTTAAATCCAGCTTTCCTTATAAACAGCTTACACCTATCATGTCATTTTCTTCCTTTGAAATGCGCCTGTTTGAACTGCGCATCTTCCCCCGCCTGCTCACTGTGCTGATTCATCGCCCTCCAAAGACTGACTAACTTCCTAAATGATTTCTATGATCTTGTGGCAGACTGTATCCTAAAATATGACTGTCCTATTTCCTGGGGATTTTAACATCCATATCTGCTGTCCTGACAATGTGCTTGCTAAAGGCTTTTTGAATTTGCTAGATTCATTCAATTTAACTCAATGGGTATCGTCCCCAACTCTTGCCAGGGGTCACACCCTGGACCTGGTTCTCTCTTTTGGTCTCCCTGTCATTAACCTTGAGACTGCCTCCTGTGTTCTCTGATCACTCTCCAATACTCTGTGATGTTACGTTGCCACGTCCTCTCCCTGTGTGTGAAGCTCCAGCTCCTAGGTTCAGAGCCCTGGATGCCGAAACTGTTGCAAAGTCCGTGGACTGTATGTCTGTAAGGTTAGAGTCCTTTAACCCAGATCCATCTAACATTGATCATTACTCACACCACTTTGATTTACTTTGTAATCAGGTCCTGGATGTGGTTGCCCCTCTCAAGCGTTGCAAGTCTAGGCCTAGGAGGGAGCCTTGGCTCTCTGATGTCACACAGGCTTGTAGGCGGATGTGCAGATGCTCTGAGAGAAAGTGGAAAAAGGATGGCCTATAGGTCTCGCGTGAGTTGTTCAGAGCATCACTGGTTGCTTATCAGTATGCTGTGAGGGCTGCTAGAACTGCCTATTTTGCAGACATCATTGAAACAAACTCCAAGAATCCCAAGATTCTCTACAAAACACTGAACTCTGTTCAGGTGTATCAGGAGCCCAGCTTCATGTCCACTACAGCTGCTGGAAACTCTGAAGATTTTCACAAATTCTTTGTTCACAAAGTATCAGGCATTAGAGCAGCTGTTTCTGGTAACTCTATTGACCCTGTTCCAGTTCTTCCATCACCACCCACCCTGAGCTCCCTCAATACCATTTCATACTCTGAGCTGAGTAAGCTTGTTGCGAGGCAGAAGCCATCTGGCTCTCCACTTGACGTTCTGCCGCCTCGTCTCTGGAAGGCTGCCTTTCCGTGACTTGGCCCATCATTTGGTCAGATTATCAACGGGAGCCTCAGCACAGGTGTGGTCCCAGCTGCTTTGAAAGCAGCAGTTGTTCGGCCGACCCTGAAGAAACCTGGTGCTGATGTCTCTGTGATCGCAAATTACAGGCCTATCTCTACCCTGCCTTTTACATCAAAACTGCTTGAGAAAGTCGTTTATCAGCAGCTGGTCTCACATTTAGCTGACTCTGATCTGTTTGAGGTTTTCCAATCAGGGTTCAGGTCTGGCCATAGCACAGAATCGGCTCTACTGAGGGTCTTAAATGATATCTATCTATCACTAGATCAGGATACATCTGTGGTGCTTCTGTTGTTAGATCGGACGGTAGCTTTTGACATGGTTGACCACGTGATTCTGCTTGATCGCTTGGAATGATGGGTTGGGATCAAAGGCTCTGCATTGGATTGATTTAGATCGTATCTCCACAACAGGACATTCTGTGTTAAACTAGGTGATGTTTTCTCTTCTTGGGAGGGGCTCCACTGGGGGGTCCCACAGTGATCGATCCTTGGTCCTCTTTTGTTTGCCATTTATTTGCTTCCTCTGGGGTCAATCTTTCGTAAACATGGCCTAGCGTTCCATCTCTATGCTGATGATTGCCAGATTTAAACTTGGTTTATGCTTGACGCATTTACTTTCCACTTGGTGATGCGGCCCGCGGATGGAATGCGCTTCACAACTTGCAGCGTTTATGGTTCATGCGGCTTGTCTCTGCGGTGAGCCAATATTCTCCCAAATTGTAGGGGGCAGCATGGAGCTCTACGGCATGCATCCAACACTACACTATAGTAGAAGTAAAAATTACTATTGTTTACAACATGGCATTCCAGCATTTTTTAACAGCGTCCTCGTCTTTTCCGACAGTACGAGCCATTTCTCTCCAAGAATTATTAACAACATGTTGATCACAGTGATCTTTGAGAGGTGAATCATACAAATGTCTGTATTTACGAACCTCTGTCCTAACTCGTTCTTGCCAGTCCGCCATGTTTTTCCGTGTTCGACCATCTGCGTGGTTAGAAAATTTCCTAGGTGCGCGGTACGGAAAGTTTGGGCCGTGCGGAGGCCAGGTGGTGGGGCATGGTTGTCAAAATGATGCAATTTTGCCGCACAGAGCCGTGCAAACCTCGCGGACGCGTCAAGCATAAACCAACCTTTACTTTCCATTGTGTCAAGAGAAAGGTCTCTCTCTATCCAGTCCTTTGTGTCCTGTCTTAACGAGGTGGTCTCAGCTAATGGCCAACTATCTGTATCTGAATGAGGGAAAGACAGAGCTCATCATTTTTCACCCCAACAGCAGGGCTGTGGGTCATTATGTTGATCTTGGCCCTCTTTCTCCCTACTCAAAACCACCAGTTGTCACCAGTTTGGGGGTGAAAATTGACGCTGGACTTAAATTTGATGCTCACATCAACTCTGTGATCCAGTCCAGTTTCTTTCATCTCAGATGCCTTGCAAAAATCAAGCCTATGCTGTCGAGAGCCCACCTGGAGCGGGTACTCCATGCTTTTGTAATTTTTAGGCTTGATTACTGCAACTTTCTATATGCAGGACTGTGTCAGTCATCACTGCGCCACCTACAGGTTGTGCAGAACAGAGCAGCCAGGTTTCTGACTGGGACCAGGAAACAGGACCACATCAGTCCGGTTCTGGCCTCCCTGCACTGGCTTCCAGTCTGTTATCGTTCACATTTTAAACTCCTGGTCTTTGTTTACAATTTCTTCCAGGGTAGTGCTCCCCCCATCTGGCCACGCACCTGAACAGACATTCCCCATCACGCGCTCTGCACTCCTCTGACCAAGGCCTGCTCGCTGTACCTTGTTCTACGTGTCGTACTCGTGGGGACCGGGCTTTCTCAGTCCTAGCCCTGTCACTCTGGAACCAGTTGCCACCCTCAGTCAGGCTATCCCCATCTCTGCCAGCCTTTAAGAGTCGCCTAAAAACCCACCTCCTCCGCTTGGCATTCCCTGAATGTGTTTGAGTTAGGCCTTCATTTATGTTGATTTTAATTCCCTGCTTTCACTGGTCACTTTATCTCTTGTTTTACACACATAAGCGCACACTCTCACACACACGCGCACGAGCGCGCACACACACACACAGCCTGGAGCGCAGAATATGAAATGCAGAATATCAGCAGAGGGACAGATTAAGACAAAATGTCATGCGTCTGTGACAGTGTGTGTCCTGTCACTGTGACCCCATCGATCATGTGCCCTGGCTGCTTGGACAAAGGAGATCTCCGTTTGGCTGACTGGTTAGCATGCATGACTTTCACCCGGGAGTCTGGTGATCAAATCCCGATTGGACCATTTTTTTTATATCCGCCACAGATCTCTCAGAAGAATTCACAACATTGACGGCTTCAGCAACACTGTGCCACTCCGTGGATTTTCTCTTATTTGTTTTGCAAAAGCACTTCCTTTCATTTCTCGACCTCACCCACAGTTACCTCAATTTCTGCTTCTGTGAAATTGCGATTCCTTGATCTGCCTTGATCTACGGTCGCCATGTCATTGGCGGAGCGCTGCAACAGCTGAATTATGTATATGCATGAGATCCACAAGGCACTTTGCATTGACTATTTATGGCAGTAAGTGGGCGTGGTGAGGGCGGGATGTGACTACAGTGCAGCTGAGAAACATTCTCGTTAGTCTCCGATTTATGAAGCGGAGATTGCGTGCAGCTGTGCGTACTCCATGTTTGATAGATCACAAACCTACTTGGGGTAAGTACGTTTTATTTATTTTTTGCTGAGCTTAAGTACGGTTTTAGTAAGGATTCTACGCAATGTTTGAAAAATGAGACCCCTGAACTTGCTCGAAGTGTCTTGTGATGACCAGAGTGGGCTAGCCATTGGCTAATCTACTTCTCAGAAATAAACAATCTGGTCTTTGGTCAATATCGGACAGTCCCTGTCCCTCACTCATCAGCTCCATTATTGTATGACTTTCTAAAGAGTCCAACCTCTCCAGCCTTCCTCCTATCTGATCAACTGCATCTTAGTTGTGTTTAGAGATTATCTTCACAGTAATGTTTGGGTTCAGACAAAGTCCAGAAGTCATGTGACAGGGCCCTCTGGATCCAACCTACAATGGAAAGGCTTTCCCAACAGTCTTTACACAGCTATGCAGTCAGTAGGATTCAAATACACCACCCAAGTTATATTATTGTTTTCTTCAAACACATTAATAAAACGTTCAACCTGAGCACCAATCCGTTTTAAAATGATGTAAAGAATTGATTAGTTGGGTGAATTTCCTCTACATTCAGTGCTATGATCATTCTGGGTTTAAACTCACTTAAACCCGCAGGAGATGTTCTGCTTCCAGTCGTCAGGCAGCTTCCTCAGCAGAGCCATTTTTGATGTGTGTGCACTGATGTGAGCTTCAGAGCCAAAGAGAGAGAGAGAGAGAGAGAGAAAGAGAGAGAGAGAAAGTTTTAGAGCAACATCAAGAGCTTCCCTTCCGCATCCATGCTGATCCCTGCTTCTTACACAGTAATTAATCTGTGGTGGTTTGCTAGCACAGGGAGAAGTAAGAGTGGGTGGTGAAATAAGATCTTTGGTTCCCTCTTCCTTTCTACCTCCCACACCAGCTGGGAAGGTCTGCTTATTTCAACAATGTCTTTAGTTACGGAGTGTTTATACAGCCTACCACCACAGCCGTGAATACACAAACGGGGAATGGCACACGGTAAGCCTCATGATGAACTAGGAACCAGCAGATAGAGGGAAGGCTTTGCTTAGCTGTTCTTGTTGCATAATGTTGTTACCAAGGAGATGCTTGGTATGAGTTCAAACAGCTAGGTTTCTCTCTGACTTACTGCTGCTGGTAACAGAAGAGAAAGTAGCCATCTGAGGATGGGTCCACTGTGGTCAGCAGCAATCATCAGGCTGGGATGCTTAAACCAAGCTCAGATATGAAAAGGTCCAAAGTGGGTCAAAAACATCCCCCACACCGTTACACCAGCAGCAGCCTGAACCTTTGACATAAGGCACCAAAATTGGTCCCTGACCACCTGATCGTCACATGAAACATTCTCCAATCTCTTCCTGTTTCGTTCTGATGATCCAGTGTGAACTCTGATTTTACTCCACAGTAACGACACTCGGTGTGTCTTCTGCTCTGAGATTAAATGGGAGTTAAGATATGGTGAGTAGTTATTTGAGCTACTGTTGCTTAGGTTTGCCCATCCTCCTCTACGCTGTTGGACAGAAACACGACACTTTCATCCACATAACTACTGCTCGTCTTCTGTAAAAGCCAGAGACCAGAGCAGCCCATCAAGCACAAGTAGCCATGTCACCGATATCGCCTTTCTTCCTCATTCTATACCAGCAGATTGAAAGGTTGTGAAAAAGGTGACAACTTTTAATGTAAATTAAGGCTCTGATAGTGTGGAAAAAAAAAGGGGGGGGGGGGCAGCATTTGCTTTTATTTTGCCTTCTTCTTCTTCTTAGGCAAAGTGGATGTGAGGATCAATTTCTGTCTTAGATTATTAAGGCGATAGCATACATGTGGCCAATTCCTTGTTAATATTCTGTTTTAATGGGGTTAAATAGTGTTTGTAATTACGTCAAACTCTGAAAATTTCAAATAAACTCAACTCGAAAAATAAAACCAACAGGCCTCTGGAAAAATGTACAAATGTTGAAAGGAGACAAACCAGCAAAAGGTCCACCGTGATCTAGTGGTGACGTTTGATTTGGCAAATTTAAGCTCCAACCATTGCAAGGTGTTGAACTGAAGTTAGATGTACACGCGGTGCACGCTCCAGCGGCGTGTACGCCATCTCTGTGGCTGTGGATGGTCAAACGGCGATGGGTGAGTCGCTACAACAAAGATATTTTTCTGAAAATTGATTCTTAGAAAAGCCAACTGAGCCAGGCCACCTTTGGCTTATAAAACAGCAAGTTTTGCCCAGAAGTAACACTTTTCTAAGTTGTTTTCCTCTCATCTAGGTGACTAAATGGTTATGGTTACATTAGACTGAACAACTGTACCTAATAAAATGACCAGTGCTCTATGGGAGATATATACACTCACCTACAGGATTATTAGGAACACCACACTAATACGGTGTTTGACACCCTTTCGCCTTCAGAACCGCCTTAATTCTATGTGGCATTGATTCAACGCGGTGCTGAAAGCATTCTTTAGAAATGTTGGCCCATACTGGTAGGATAGCATCTTAAAGTTGATGGAGATTTGAGGAATGCACATCCAGGGCATGAAGCTCCCGTTCCACCACATCCCAAAGATGCTCTATCGGGTTGAGATCTGGTGACTGTGGGGGCCATTGTAGTACAGTGAAATCATTGTCATGTTCAAGAAACCAATTTGAAATGATTGGAGCTTTATGAGATGGTGCATTATCCTGCTGGAAGTAGCCATCAGAGGATGGGTATAAGAAGAAGAAGAAGAAGAAGAAAATATCATTTCTATAGCGCCTCTCAAGACAAAAATCACGACGCGCTTCACAAAGACAAAAAATGTAAAAATATAAAAAAGCATTTAGAAAATGTTTAAAAATATATTTAAAATGAGCAAAAATATACAATTGTGATTAAAAAAATGTTAAGAAAGAGAGAGAGTGAAAAGGAAAGAGGGAAATCAGTGGATCCTGAGGAAGGTGGAATAGGCAGGGGGAGCAGAACAGGGAGAGGGTGATGAAAATCACACAAAAGCCAGCTTGAACAAGTGAGTCTTCAGCTGCTTTTTGAAGGAGACCACTGAGTCCACTGATCTCAGGCTCAGGGGGAGAGAGTTCCAGAGTCTGGGGGCCACAACAGCAAATGATCTGTCACCTTTGGTCTTTAGCCTGGTGCTGCACAACCAGTAGGCTTTGATCACTGGACCTCAGGGACCTGCTGGGGGTGTAGGGACTAAGAAGATCACCAATGTAAGATGGTGCTTGTCCATGTAAGGCCCTATAGACCAGAACCAGGATCTTGAAATGAACCCTGAAGTTGACTGGCAGCCAGTGAAGCTGGAGGAGAAGCGGGGTGATGTGGGTGTGTTTGGAGGACTTGGTCACCAGCCGAGCACAGGCATTCTGAACCACCTGTAGATGGTTCAGGGAGGTTCTGCTCAGACACGTGAAAAGAGAGTTACAGTAGTCTAAGCGTGAGGAGATGAAGGTGTGGATAACTGTCTCAAGTTCAGAGTGGGACAGAATGGGACTCAGCTTAGCAATGTTCCTGAGATGGAAGAAGGAAGAGCAAACAAGAGAACTGACATGAGAATCCAGGGTGAGAGCTGGGTCAAAGGTCACACCAAGATTCCTGACAGAAGGTTTTGTGTGAGAAGCAAGCTGACCAAGAGTCTCTGACTTTGGGAACCAGCTTGTCTGGGGCACAGATGAGGATCTCAGTCTTATCTTCATTCAGCTGAAGAAAGCTCCCAGCCATTCAGGTTTTGATAGAGTCTAGGCAGGTGTGTAACAGCTGCAGCTTAGACATCTCATGGGGCTTAAAAGAGATGTACAGTTGGATGTCATCTGCATAAACATGGTAGGAGATTCCTTTGAAGGAGCTCAGGATGTGCTGAAGAGGAAGCAGATAGAGGAGGAAGAGCAGAAGCCCCAGCACAGAACCTTGTGGGACACCATGGGTAAGAGAGGTGGTGGAGGACCTAAACTTGGAGACGGCCACAGAAAAGGAGCACTCAGAAAGATAAGAGGAGAACCACTCCAGAGCAGATCCTGATAGACCTACCCAGTCTCTCAGCCTCTCCAGTAGCAGGTGATGGTCAACAGTGTCAAAATCTGCAGTCAGGTCCAGCAGGACCAGAACAGAACAGTCCCCTGCATCACTGTGAGTCAGAAGGTCATTAGAGACCCTAAGAAGAGCTGTTTCAGTAGAATGAGCTCTACGAAAACCTGACTGGAAGCTATCATAGATGTTATGTTCATCAAGAGCAGCTGGGAGTTGTTTAGCCACAACCTTTTCCAAGATCTTGGAGATGAACGGAAGTTTAGAGATGGGTCTGAAGCTGCTATGGAGAGAGGGGTCGAGACTCGGTTTTTTAAGAAGCGGGTGGATTACGGCATTCTTAAAGTAAGCAGGGACCTGACCAGAAACCAGAGAAGCATTAATTATAGAGAGCACGCTGGGACCGATGGACTGAAAAGCACTTTTAAACAAAGATGAGGATAAGATGTGGAGGGGGCATGGAGAGGTCTTCATAGAGTTAACTAGTTTGGTTAACTCAAGCAAAGAAACAGGAGCAAAGCTATCTAGGATGATGGGCCTGGTTGGAGTCGGGAGAGGCAGCAACAAGGCTGAAGGAGAGATGAGAACCTTATCGACTTTGTCCACAAAGAAAGACAGAAAGTTCTCACAGTCTGTAACAGAGTGGATGGAGGCTGTAGGAGTAGCAGGAGAGACAAAGCTGCTGATGGTGTTAAACAGCACCTTGGGGTTCCCTTTGCTTTGGGACACCAGGTTGGAGAAATAGGAAACCCTGGCGTCTCTGACTGCAGAGTTAAAGGATGTCAGAAGATCATTTAGGTGCAGCAGATGGACATGGAGATGGGTTTTCTTCCACAAACGCTTAATTTTTCTGCATTGGCGCTTCAGGCTGTCATTAAACCAGGGAGTAGGGTTCACTGCAGGAACTGATCTGGTTCTGACAGGACAGATGTTGTTCAGAATGGAGAGGCAGTGCTCGTTAAACTGAGAAGGTAAGGAATCTGGGTTGTTATCAGAAGAACAGGGTGGATCAAAAGCAGCAGAAAAATTGCTAGCTGTGCTCTCATTAAGAAAACGAGAACTAACCACACGGCGAGCTGGAGGTGGGGACGCAGAAACTGACAAGTTAAAGAAAATGCAATGGTGATCTGAAATATAAACATCCTCAGGACAAACACTGTCAGCATTTAGACTCGGGGTAAAAACAAGGTCTAGAGTATGCCCCCTGTTGTGTGTGGGGCCAGAAACATGCTGGGTAAAGCTGAAGGTGTCCATAAGGCTGGAGAAATTCATGGCAAAGTGATCGGAGGGATCATCAACGTGGATGTTAAAGTCACCAACAATCACCAGTCTGGACAGCTTCACAGTGGAGGATAGAAAGTCACTAGACTCCTGAAGGAAAGAACTGTTTGGACCAGGTGGACGATAGACCACAGCACAGTAGAACGGGTCCTTACGCCCGACTTTAATCAGCTGCAGTTCAAAGGAAGCAAAGTGACCAGAGGTTGTAGAGCTACATGGAAGAAGGGTCTCTGAAAACAACAGCTAGGCCTCCACCATGACCAGAACCTCGGGGCTGGCTAAGAAAATAATAACTACTCGGGCAGAGTTCAATCAGACCAGAATAATCAGATGTTTGCTGCCAAACTTCAGTCAGAAACAGAAAATCCAGGTTTTTAGAGCGAATTAAATCATTGAGCAGGAAGGACTTATTGTTAACAGAGCGGGTATTTAATAGAGCCATGCTGAGTGAGGTGGAGGAACCAGAAACTACAGAAACAGCTGGAGTTTGAGGACGTAAATTAGCGGGGTTAGATCCACGGTGTTTATAAAAACCACTTATGGAGGGAACAGGAGGAGAAACCACTGAGGAATGAGGATAAACCGACCTTAAAAAACTTGGACGGATGAACCGCGCTGCAACGCGGCCTGGCGGAAATGCGGAAGTGGCGCTCAGGTCGCCAAACAAAGGACAAGAAGCTAGAAGATCACGCTGATGTTTACTAGAGAAACCACGCTTTAAGAGGTCTTATTCTCACCTGGATTCCTACTCGTTTACCTCTTTTCCTCTGAAGTTTTCCCGGGACCGGACAAACATAGCTGGAGGTGCGCAGCTCGAGACCGTTGTTTTGCTCCGGGCCAATGCGCCACTCAGGTAAACAAACAGGATGATACGTCCTCGGTGCATCTTGGGCGATCGTGAACGAACGGAAGGACAAAAGAGTCTGGCGATCATAGGAGATGGTAGCAGGGACACTACTGAAGAGGATCACAGACAGGAGCAAGGTGGAAAAGAGGAGGTTAGTGGAGAAAAGTTTGAAAAAGTGGCCGGTGACTGCGGCTAAGCCAAGCACAGGCGCCATCTTGTTTGCCGACCGGAAGCTGTGTCATGGTGGTCATGAAGGGATGGACATGGTCAGAAACTATGCTCAGGTAGCTGGTGGCATTTAAACGATGCCCAGTTGGCACTAAGGGGCCTAAAGTGTGCCAAGAAAACATCCCCCACACCATTAAACCACCACCACCACCAGCCTGCACAGTGAGGCATGATGGATCCATGTTCTCATTTTGTTTACGCCAAATTCTGACTCTATCATTTAAATGTCTCAACAGAAATCGAGACTCATCAGATCAGGCAACATTTTTCCAGTCTTCAACTGTCCAATTTTGGTGAGCTTGTGCAAATTGTAGCCTCTTTTTCCTATTTGTAGTGGAGATGAGTGGTACCCTGTAGGGTCTTCTGCTGCTGTAGCCCATCCGCCTCAAGGCTGTGCGTATTGTGGCTTCACAAATGCCTTGCTGCATTCCTCAGTTCTAACGAGTGGTTATTTCAGTCAAAGTTGCTCTTCTATCAGCTTGAATCAGTCGGCCCATTCTTCTCTGACCTCCAGCATCAACAAGGCATTTTCGCCCACAGGACTGCCGCATACTGGATGTTTTTTCATTTTCACAACATAATTTGTAAACCCTAGAAAAGGTTATGCGTGAAAATCCCAGTAACTGAACAGATTGTGAAATACTCAGACCAGCCCGTCTGGCACCAACAGCCATGCCATGCTCAAAATAGCTTAAATCACCTTTCTTTCACATTCTGACATTCATTTTGGAGTTCAGGAGATTTTCTTGACCAGGACCACACCCCTAAATGCATGGAAGCAACTGCCATGTGATTGGTTGATTAGATAATTGCATTAAGGAGAAGTTGGACAAGTGTTCCTAATAATCCTTTAGGTGAGTGTACTTTTACATATGAATGTGAACACCACCACATCAGGTGTGTATGTAAGGGTGCATGTATTTGAAACATAAAGACAGACATGCGGAGAGACAGACATGCGGAGAGACAGACAATGCAGAGAGACAGACAATGCAGAGAGACAGACATGCAGAGACAGACAATGCAGAGAGACAGACAATGCGGAGAGACAGACATGCAGAGAGACAGACAATGCAGAGAGACAGACAATGCGGAGAGACAGACAATGCGGAGAGACAGACAATGCGGAGAGACAGACAATGCAGAGAGACAGACATGCAGAGAGACATACATGCAGAGAGACATACATGCAGAGACAGACATGCAGAGAGACAGACAATGCAGAGAGACAGACAATGCAGAGAGACAGACATGCAGAGAGACAGACATGCAGAGAGACATACATGCAGAGAGACATACATGCAGAGACAGACATGCAGAGAGACAGACAATGCAGAGAGACAGACAATGCAGAGAGACAGACAATGCAGAGAGACAGACAATGCGGAGAGACAGACATGCAGAGAGGCAGACATGCAGAGAGACAGACAATGCAGAGAGACATACATGAGGAGACAGACATGCAGAGAGACAGACAATGCGGAGAGACAGACATGCAGAGAGGCAGACATGCAGAGAGACAGACAATGCAGAGAGACAGACAATGCAGAGAGACAGACATGCAGAGAGGCAGACATGCAGAGAGACAGACAATGCAGAGAGACAGACAAACAGTCACATGCTGAACAAAAGGGTCTCCACCCTTTTGTTCAGCAAACACAGGTTGACATAATAAATTAGAGCAGTTTAACTAAAGCTCAGTAAACAACATTTCTCTCAGTTCTGCACATTCCACTCTGTGTAATTTGACTAGCCGTAGTCATGGCAACAAAGTAAACTTTGCCTCTACACAGTTACAGCCGGACGGTGACTCATGCAGTGACTACTCCAGTGGTTTTGTGGGAAGGTCTGCCTCATGGTTTCCATTGTGCCAAGGGAAGGGAGGAAATTATACCTTCAGCTGACACTTATTTTGAAAAACTGAAACCTCCAGGGCCACTCCTTCAGTATCATTAGGTCTGTACCTATATACGACACTGTGCTGGAGTGAAGCAGCGTCTCTGTCCACAGCTGACACGCCTCACTGCTTGTTAGACACTCAACACCATAGGAAAGTTGGTACTCCAGCTTCGGTACGACGTGCACGGGGACATACTGTAGAAGATAAGGTATATTTAGCGCTATTAGAGGACTGTAAACACACTGGAACTGCTGGCATCGGCATTAATACCTGATTTTTGCTGCTGCCGACACTCCGTGTGTGAGTTAGAGACACAGAGCTGCGTACGAGGAGTAGCACGTCCTGCAGACTGTAGAGCTTGTAGAGCAGGTTGCTTTCCTCTGGGGCTTCATAGTCTTGTTCGTCCTCTGCACAGGCCTGGAGGTCTTCTGAAAGGATTCCTAAACATAAGCAGTTAAGGAGCAAGTCGTGCAAACAAGATTTAAAGTCACAAGAATAAAAAAAAAGTAATAATAATAAAGAGTCATACGTTTCTGCCCTGTAGCATTATTGTTGACAGCTGCAGAGTCAGGAGGACTAGCACATGTCTCGTTGTCTTCGTTCTGGTGTCTCTCCAAATATGAGGTCACACATGGCTTAACCAGGGACATTAGGTGAGAGTTTGGCATGGGCTCCACACAGCGGCTGGGTGACTTCACTGTTGCATCGTTAGCAGACTTGAACATGGCTGTTTGCATGCGCAGGATCTCACCTAGCTGGTCACCAGAGGTCTTTGCTCTTTTGGCTTGTTGTCTCGTCCTCGCACTCTTATTAGGGGAAGACAAGTCTTTATTTAGAGGAGTGGACTCCGGGACAGAAGTCAGGTCAGGTTGTTTTATGGGTGTTGCTGCTGAAGGTGCAGAACTGTCAATGATGAGCTTCTCATCATCCGAGTCTCCTGCAAAAGCTTCCTCTTCTTCCTGTTCTCTGGTGGAACCCGTTGGTTTAGACTTTGGCAGAAGGACTTCACTCACAACCGGCGGACTGGGTTCCTCCATGTTTGTCTTCGTCTCTTCATGAGAACCACTTCTAGAACTTTTGGATCTGGTTACAATCGAGGAACCTGTGGCTCTCTCATATTTGAGCCCTCCATCCTGCCGATTCTTCCCCTTCTTTGTCTGGGACACTGTACTGGTCTCCCCGAACGTCTCCAGGTCGCTGAGGTCCACCTCGAAGTCGAGGCCTGTGCTCTCTGCAGACACAAACCTTCTCTTGGAACTCTCCTGTTAGAAAATCACAAAAAAGAAAAGCTGCTTGGATGAAAGAAAAGAGAGAATAGGTACTTATTGCTACATAATGTAGCATCACTAGCATACTGGTGATGTTTGCTGCTGAGCCACGGGACGCTCGGTCATCAAATGGAACACATTTATACTTCCATTCTTCACAACGGAGAGCTTGAAACTTTCCTCATGAAAGATGTGATTCCTCTCTCTAACGGTCATCTCAGTCTTCAGAAAAGGCGAGTCGATGTACACGATTGTCCTCTTACTGCTGGCTGCAAGCAGAGATTAAAGGCTCCAGTCAAACAGCACCACCATGTTGCCAGTCTGTGTTGGTACACGCTGACTCAACCCACAAAATCAATTTATACCCATTAAACAGGAAACCTTTTCTTGGGTGCATAGGCGTCATTTTAACCGGGGACGCCGGGGACATGTCCCCGGCAAAATTTGTGATTGGCAGCTGTGTCCCCCCCACTTTCAAAAACGCCTGCAGATGAGGATTTTTGTTTTACCAGCTCAGATCTTATACCAGGGGTCGGCAACCTGTTCCCATCAAAGAGCCATTATTACCCATTTCCCACAGTAATTCTGGACGGACCTTAATAAGCAGTGACTTAAGTGAAGCAGGCAGGTCGCGCTAGAAAATTTAGTTTAAAAAGACGTCATAAATGTGTTCCCCCGTCATTTTTATTTATAAAATATGAAGTAAAAACTCACAATTTAATTTACATTCATTCGTCATTAATATGTAGTCTACACCCGTGCGTTAAGTGGACCATCTTCCAGTAAACGCAAAGCATCCAGCCCACCTCTCCAAATGCGTAAAATGTGCATCAGCCGCTAGTTAGGCGTGTCGCGCGCACCATCAGCTGATCGGCCCAGACAAGAGCAGAGCAACTAGAGAAAGAATAGAGGATAATTGTGTCTGGGTGTGGATGGAGATTACATTTTACAGCAGCCTGATCATCATTTAAATACGTAAACCATCACCTGTCTTCTAGCCCACGCTATCAGCATTATTTTAATTGGTGTGTGTGTGTGTGTGTGTTTGTTTGTTTGTTTTCCACTTCAAACACTGGTCTAACCAACCAGACCAGCGTGTAACATATTAATGTTACAATTAAACAGTTCCACTTCATGTAGGCTAGGAACGTTTCACCTGCCGTGGCCCGACCGCTTCTGCTCCACATAAACTTTGTGCGTAATCAAATGTCTCTACGCGTCATGCGTCTCCATATTAGAGACGGAAACAAGCGCTGTTCAGCCAAAGTTTCATAATTTCATAAAAAGAACATTTTTCCAAGTGACACATCCCTCAGAGAGACAGGGTTTCCAGACCGCTTCAGTGGGAGGAAATCTTGTCGCATGGGGTTCTGCACTGCGCTGCGAACCCCAGATCTTCAGCTCACTGTCCACCGTGGGCGCTCCGAGCCGCGCTGAACACATGTCCAGTATAAAGCTCTGATGTTCTGATGGGAATATTTTACCTCCGCGATGTGCATTAACGATTAAAATGTCAGCTCATCCATGCGCATCAGTGTGCGTCGGGGTAATTCTTTCAAACCAAGCAACATCCTTGAGTTCATCTGTCAAAATAAACAGTCGAATGGAAATATCTGTAACCTGCCGTTTAACTGTTTTGCCTTCCTGTGAAGATTGTTGCAAAGAGAAACAATAAAACTAACCCCAGAGAACCAGAGCGCATGTGGAAGGTTCCTCCCACTGAAGCGAGTGTTTTCCAAACCCTGTCTCTCAGAGAGACTTGTCACTTAGAAAATGTTCCCTGATTATGAAACTTTGGCTGAATAGCGCTTGTTCCTGTCTCCAATGTGGCGACACATCCAGGAGCCGTCTGAGGAGAATCCCAGAATCTCACATCCTCTTCAGCTCAGAATGCGCCTATATGATTACGCACAAGCGTGACGCGCCAACCCGGTCTCACAGTAAGACCGGGTTGGACCTGTTCAGGTTTACGCAGACAATCTTTACATTTAGAATTGTCATACAGATGTAAAATTAATGCAGTAAAATATAAAGCATTTTATTTAAATATCCATTCATTATTTTATAAGCACAGAGAGCCGCATCAGATGGATGGAAGAGCCGCATGCGGCTCCAGAGCCGCGGGGTGCCGACCCCTGTGCTAGCCTACTTTATTGTCCCCAGCAATTTTTAAACCCCACTCAAGTGTATGGTTATTGTCCCCAGCAATTCTGAAAACAAACTGACGCCCTTGCTTGGGTGTGCCACAAGATAACAAATTTTTTGTACAATTTAAGGGCAACTTTTAGGTATTCTAACATGTAAGTTAGCTAATTTTTCCCCAAATAAATTCCCTTAGACAAGACTTTAATATAAGATCTGGTTTGGAAGGGATTACATTTGAACATCTGAGTGATTCTTGCAGCAAAGATATAAAGTAATGAACAGTTTGTACCCAGGGCTGAGTGATTACTTAAAACAAGTGGCTGCAGATGTGTGAATTAATAGTATGATTGCTCTCTTGCATGGGGTAAATAATATATATATCAAGGTAAAAATCATGAGGTTCTTGCTTCACAAGAACCAAAAAAAAATAAAAAAAAATCATTTAAAAAATAAAAAGGAGAAAAATAAAAAATGTTTGATTTAAAAAAAATGTGAGGAAAGGGAAAGAGAAAATAAATAAGGGGTAATCAGTGGATGGGAAAGGTGGAATTGGTAGAAAGAGCAGAAAGAGGAGAATGTGGTGATGGTCACACCAAAGCCTGCCGAGCGCGGCTGTGTCTGCAGCTCACCGCTCCCCCAGGGGATGGGTCAAATGCGGAGAACAAATTTCGCACACACACCTGTGTGTGTGACAACTAATGGGACTTTAACTTTAACAGATGAGTCCACTGATTTCAGGCTCAGGAGAGAGCTCCAGAGTCTGGGGACCTCAGCAGCAAATGATCTGCCACCTTTGGTCTTTAGCCTGGTGCTGCACAACCAGCAGGCTTTGGTCACTGGACCTCAGGGACCTGCCATTTTGGCACAAAAAAAATTTAAGTATAGACAAAAAAAAATCTGCAGATTTAAGTAGCTTTTCATTTTTTCCTAGAATAAAAAATAAATACAATGAATGACACTAAAAGTACCAGTAATATTTTTTTGGCCTATTAATGTTTTTTAACATAATTTACCGCAAAAATATCAACTTCTCATAGAAAAAAAAACTTTTTTTCTTTTGTTATTTTCCCCTTTTCAAAATTGAGAACAAATTTCATAGTAGATCTGTATGAAAGAGGAAAATATTTTATTTATTCTTCTCAGAGTTTTTTTCCACAACTATGAGAAACCTTTATTTCAGTGCATGGCCCTAATCCTCTACCATAGGTATTTCTACAAAAAAAAAAAAAAAAAACCTTCTTAAAGATCCTGTAACAGTTGTGGCTCTAAACAAGTATTATTTAGGTGGACTGATGGAAAAATGGCCCTTTGGATAGTAAACCACGATTTTAGATAACTGCAAAAACATGGGGTCCTGCAGTGAATTAGAAATGTAATCAAAACTTAGGTAGGGGTGTATACATTTATCAGAGGCTGAATGTACAATTTTGACCCTGTGTGCAAATAAATTTAAGTCGCTGAAGGACGAACAGTTTTAAAACAACCAAATATGACATTTATCTCTTTGTGAGTGTTTGCAAACTCCTGACCACAGCTGGAAATTGTTCTGAAGTATTTATTAAAAGTAAATTTATTTAACTGAAAACACAATGAGCTTATAAGGCCTACAGACCATTTCCTGGGATTGCTTTCACGACAACAGGCAGCTCCCATTGCTCCGCAAATTCAGGGCCGTGGTTGTCCAGCAGTCTGACCAAAGCATCCCGAGTCAGGCAGACATGCGGCTGGTAAAAACAACACAGCTTCTCTGCATTCCCATCCTCACTGATCATCTGTAGAATCAAACAATAACATGATGCCTCTTCTGCATCAAAAAAACACAGTTTTAAAAATGAAAGGGCCTTTGTTGGTAACAGCTGCAGCCTGGGACGTTTTTTTAGAAACTCAATCCAGAACTGGCTTTAGCAGCACAAGACGTGAACACCCTCTGGTGTCTTCTAAGAAAACTGCAAGAGCATAAATGGTGTTGCAACAGAGCTGCAGTCGTGAGTCCCGTTCAGGCAGCAGAGCATCTCTGTTTGCTCTGCAGGAGCAATTAAAGACAGGAAAAGAAAGGGGGAGACGACTGCTTACAGCGTGCATGTCCTTGGCTTTCTTCGCTGGAGGAGTCGCTGACGAAACACTCTGATAATCCGATGCAAGCTGCGCATCAGCAGGCGCTATCTTGTGGTCTGTAATGTTCACTTTGCCCTGGAGAAATAAAAGGTACAAATATGGAAAGAGAGACAGAAACACCACGAGGCTGATTCTGCAATTCAGAACTTTGAGATGAAAGTTTGAACAGCAAGACATGTTTCTGTGCAGCTGAAAGAGGTCCTTCACTCATCTTTTTAATACGTTTGGGTCGGAGACGAAAGTGGAGGATTCTTATTTCCTGATATTTGGACATCTCGTCTCTGATTGGCTAACATCAACACGACTCTACCAGTGACTGTTTGCTCTGTAGCATTGATGTTTGATAAATGTCCATAAATAACATAAGCCTGGAGGAGTTCTGCTGTGTGGTGGAGTTGCTAATGCTAACACTTTTGTATGAGATACGTTTTATTATTGGCATAATTTAGTCTATTTTTTGGGGTTAGTTAGATTAGCATTTGTTAATCTGTAACTTTATAAGAAGTTTATTTACAAAGTAAACAGTAATTTTAACTGTTTTGTAGTCAACACTGCCCTCTGGTGGCTACATACGTAGCAGCTATGTTGTTTTTATCAGCAGAGGGCATTTTTGTTCAACATACACAAAGTGAGCGGACATGTCTCAGTTAATTCCTCCATTTAATCCCCTTAATAAGGCATAATCTGCATGTTTTATTGACTATATGTTTTGTTAGGCCTTTGTTTAGCAATCTGGGTGCTTTTAGTTCTGTAATTAATTGAAATTAATCAGTCTGTTAGTTTGTCGGGGGGTTTCTAATAGCACAGGACAAGCTGGCACATAACATCAGCATTTAGCTTTGTGTGCATTATATGTTCATTTTTGCTGAAAACAATATTTTGGAGAAATATATTTTATGGAATTTGTGTTGAATTGTTGCTCTGCTTTTTTTCTTATGGAGAATTAATGTTTTTATTCCTTGTATTACTGTTTTACAAGGAGATAAACAAGGTACATCAGTAAACCTTATGAAGAGTACAACATGTCTCCAGAATGCTTTACTGAAGCCATAAATTAAGCTCGCTGCATAAATTGGATTATTAGATTCAACTGAAGGCAGAAGAATTACAGTTCGCTTCTGCTCGCCGAGACGTTTTCTGCTGCTTCCTGGGCCAAAACCAACAACAGCCTTCCTCGTCACGAGCCAAGATGGGGGAGTCCATGAATGTGAAGTGAAAGTGTGAGGTACATCTGTCAGGATTTTCAAATCCTAGAGTTTCACTGTCTATTTTCTATCAGAATATAATGCAGCAGATAGGTGTAGGAGACTGTTTTAATGTTCAGCCTGCATGAAAATCTTAGAATGACTGATTTTAATCAGGAATAAAAAATAAAAGGTTATTTCACAGTGAAGGAGCTCTTTAAGAACATGACAATTTATGTCTAAATATCTTGTTTAGAACAGTAGATCACCATTGTGAGCAGCTGCTTCTCAAAGGTCAATGCTAACCCGGGGTTAAACATCCCTCCTGTCAAACTGGTCATCTCGTGGATCTGGAAGAGCTGAGGAAGAGTCTTGATCTGCTCTAAACAGCTTCTAAAGAGTTCCTGGAAAACATTTGGGTTAAAGGTTATTTTAAACACAAACCACACTGAGCTGATTCATATGTAAACATTGTCATTACCTCTGTGTACTGCACAGCTCCTTGCGGTATGAAGTTGTAATCGTCAGCACATATTTTAGCCACATCTTGCAGGTAAATCATGAACTGCATGATTTCGTTGTTTAATCGTGTCGTGACATGCTAATTTATAAGAGATTAGAGAAGAAACTGTTAAAACAGCTGCTGGAAACAACTTCACCATTGTTGAGGACAAAATGTTGGTACCTGTGGAGGAATCCTGTGTCTTTTACTCAATAAATAATCAACGTGAGTTTTCTGCTCTTTGCTGGTGAGGCTGGACACACAGGGAAAGGGCAGCCTGGGGTCAGGATAAGCAACATCCACCTTAGTTTCAGCCGGCTTTACGTTAGACTTTCTGCCGCTCTTACTGTCCTCTGCTCCCCCAACATCATTGTCTGCGGATGGATCATCACTATCGCAGCTCTCCCAACAGGACACTTGGCTGCTGATGCAACGCCCGTCTTTTAACTGCGCTGCACCTTTAATGTTACGAGAGCTCGGGGCTTCTGCAGCCTCGTCATGCTCTTGATTTTTGTTGGCAATTTCTGCAGGGCTGCAGAACACGAGATGTGTACAAAATAACGCTAGTTAGGTCTAAAACCCAGACAAAAGGCACAGCAACTGATGTGTTCATTTAGAAATGCAAACAAACCTTTGAAGATGTGTCCAGAGTTCTCTCATATGAGGTGCAAGCGAGTATTTGTCATAGATATCTCTTGTGAAGAAAGGACCACTAGGGACTGGGGAATCATCCCTGTGACCAGAAGGAGAAAGTAAAAAACATTGTCTTCAGTAAAACATTTCTAATGTGTCCTGCTTTCTCCATATTGTAGCTTAGTAAGTAGTTCATGATACTGGTCCAAGCCCAGTCTGTTGCTTCAAACCAATCCTTTTATTTTCCATCTTTAATAATTTAGACTTCACTTTCCAGTATATCCTGCTTTCAATCCTCTGAAGCCTTTATCATAAATATCAACAAGGAACACTGAAGCAATCGGGAATTGTTCTGCAATAGAAATTTGGATCATGGTACCAGGAGTGGCTTCTCTATAGTCTACAGATGAATTACATCACGACTTTACATTTCTACTTTAATATATTTCTATTAAAGTCACCAGCAAGGCTTACAGCGAGTTCTACTTGAGATCTTATTCATGTTAAGATAATTATTCACCCCAAAATGGGCGTTGAGTGATCATAAACACGATACAGATGTCACCAGATGTTTTTCTATAGAGCACTTAAGCTATCAGCTGCCACAATTCAACAGAAAATGACACACAGTCTGTGGGACTACGGAAATGTTATTCATTACAACTCCACACCTGTTTCCTTTGAATGACTGACTGACTGAATGAATATAAAAAAAAAGTAAAACTAGATGAGCAGAAAACTACCAACCATTACTGGGAAGCACGTGGCATCAGTTGTTAATTTTATTTTTTAGCATTTTCACCTTTTTCCCACCACAACTTTGAGCTGTTAATCAGCTTAATCTTAACCATAAAACAATAGATTTTAAATTAATTGGCCAGTTAAATAAACTATTTTGTTATTTAAACGCATACAGGTAGCCTAAATACAGCTCTCAGGTGGACAACATCATAAAACCCTCAACTTACTGCATTTTTACTTCACGAACAAACTGGCTCTGTTTAATAAAAACAACACAACAAAAATAATTCACTCATGGCAAACAAAAACGCCTTTCAGTAATGATTGGGTATAACAACCTAAAAACAAACAGGCTGTTTGTTAACACTAACTTGGTTCGACTGCGACAAAACCAGGAAAAACACGGAGATTAATCCTGTTTCACTGACATCCACACTTACCATTCTATCTCCATTATTGTTTTAGAGGTCCATGGGAATAAAAAAGACGTTGAAGTGAATAAAAAACGATGTTTAATTCAGTTCTCTTCTTCACTGCTATACGTTTGACAGGCGTCATCATGCTTCGTCCGGAGGAATAACAGTGGTATTCAAACGTTGTCCGAACACGTCTGCCCCCATGTGGACATTTAGTGAAGCTTAAGCTTAATGGATAAACAATTTGTTTAATCTACTGAGAATCCACTTTTTGACAGGTGTAACTTTAAACGAACACACACACACACACACACACACACACACACACACACACACACACACACACACACACACACACACACACACACACAACTTTTTTGTCATAATAAATGTTTGCAGCTCTACAACTGTTATTTTAAATGATCCCATTTAAGGTTGCATGTTTTTTTTCAGTTTGTGATATTTTGTGAAGTGTGATTCAGTGCAGACACATTTTGGAAACCTACCATTTTCAGAAACGCAAGATATCATCTGTATCCAGCATTTGCCTTGGGGTGTACACAGAATCCCTTAAAGTGCAATAAAAATTTACAACACACAAGATAAAGAAAAGCGCTCATTATAAAAAAAATAGAAAATTTAACTCAAGTTTTTCTCACAGAATAAATGAGGAAGTGTGTCTTGCAGTAAGTTATTAATAAAGTTATTTTATATTGACACCTGTTTTTAGATGCTTTTACCAGGGTGCATTCATGCAAATGTTCCTCACAATATTTAATCAAAACCTGCAAAGTGTTACATGGAGGAAGTAAAATGAAATATTAATATTCCTTGCAGGGAAGTCGAGTCACTCATTAGAATATTTTTTAGCTTCAAGCCTGGAACTAGATCAGACCAACCTGCTTAGAAAATGTAAAACAAATCTGGGAAAATCTTTTAAGATTTTCTGTAAATTTTCTGTATTCTGTAAATAGAATTAGATCCAAAGTTTGACAGGTTTTTTTCTACAATAAAACATACATTTATTAACTAATTTCACTCATAAAGACTTAACATTATCTTGCATTTTCTGTTGCTCAGCTTTTCTTGTGGCTTGTGCAAATTTGACTGTTAATACAATCTAAACAAACATTTGGTGCACCAACTAAAATGTTTAGACTGACTTCAAACTTCAGCATTTTAAGAATGTTTTATAATTTTGATGTTTTTGGGAGATGGAGCCACACAGAAAAAGATGGATGAACAATCAGGGGAAGAAAAAAAGGGAAGCCCGATACAAGCGGTAAATTTTTATTATGGGATAACAGCACATAAAGCACATCTAAAATCGATGTGTCCAATGCACTTTTAATAAAGGTAATATTAAAGGTACAGTTTCTAAGTACAATATAACAACATTCATATTAGAATGAAAAGTATTTAAAAGACAACATTAAATTTCTTATTTTTCTTTACAGTCGTATTTACAAAATGAATCAAAATACCTATTTTCATATTTAAGAATCAGACAAGAAGGAGCAAAACTACATTTGTGAATAAGACTACCTGCTAAAGAGAGTTCAAAAGAGCTGGATTAAAAAGGTACATGATCAACTGTCCCCATTTAACATCAGTAGCAAACGTGTGACGTAGAAACCTGTGCCGACCACACTCTAAGTTTGGGCTCTTCCGTATTTTTTTTTTTTTCATCCCTGCTCCATCCCCCTTCCCGTGGAGTTATTCCCTACAGACTCGGGGCACATTAACACGAAACATTAAAAGAAATCCAGATGTGCTGCACGCTGGTTTCACAAACACGTACAAATACCTAATATACAATGCATCAACAAATCTTCTGTTTGCAGTGAAAATAAAAAAAGAGCAGGTTTCAAATGTAAATGGAGAACGTAGAAATGCTGGTTTGGTGTTGTTGCTAAAAGAAATGTTCAGGAATATTTCTCCGCCAGCGTTTATTGACCATTTGAAATTAACAGGAAACAAGTGTTCCACTTTTTGAGGGGTGTGACACTGAAATATACACTTTTAACAGAATCGGGTTAAAACATTCAACAACAGAGGGAGAAAAAGAACATTTTTAAGCATGTGAAGGAAGAAGTCGTCCTCATGTACAAAATACAGTCACTTCAGTTCAGGTTTGAAAAAAAAAACACAAAGAGAGACAATCAATCCCATGTATGCATTTTGTTACACCGAGAGGCACTCAGTGTGAAAACGTTGCGTATTATTGCGAGCATAATCTGATGGATATTTGCTACAGAGTAGGGTCAACTTTGTCTTTGAATGGCAATCTTTTTCATGGACATTTTCAACGCTTCATGTGGTGCAAAAACAAGGAAAAGGGGGTGAGTTTTGACACTGATCTGTAGAAAAACTGGTGGAAACAACAAAAGCATACAGGGCTGTTTGTGCAGAAATCAAAACACTGCTTCCCTGCATCAAGTGACGAATAACGCAGAAACGGGACGTAAACAGTTCAAACTTAACAAACTCATCGAGTGGTTTTCATTTCTACAATCAGACAAAAAAAATACTGCTGTTTCAGTTTGAAAATGTTTCCACAAACCAGAAAAGCAACCTTAAACAGCTCATTAATGAGCAGATTCTAGTCTTGCTATAAGGAAATAAGTGCCTTATCCCAAAGCTAGCACACTGATACAGGTACTAGTTAGGGTAAAATCTTTTTAAAATCACTATCATTTTATTTATCATTATCCTTTGTTGAGTCCTAATATCAATAATACATCATTAGGCTTTTAAATTATTGAACTAATGGGGCGGCCAGGCTTAGGGAATCAATACTTTGTTCACAAAATGAATTAACTTACCTAGCACCACACAGTATAGGGCAACACAAAATTAAATATAAGCACACCCCTATTTCTATCCAACTAATGCTAAAGGAGGGAAGCAAATAGAACGTTTCATCGTACAATAGGATGCAATTCATAAACAGATAAATATTTTCCACCGGGTAGGCCTTAAAGTAGCAGTATTTTCCTCTTACCTATACAGACAGGAGTTACAAAGCTACCTTTATACACGTGATCAATAATATTATTAAATATGGTGAATAAACATCCGAGAATGAGGGAGAGAGCGAGCGAGAAATGAATATTTACGGCGTACGGGCCGTGTCAAGTTCTCTACCTGGGAACAGAACTGGTCAAATATACAGATGAAACAAAAGAATAACAAAAAAAATCTACAAAATGAACACAAATAAACCCAAACAGTGATAAATAAGAGGTGTATTTACATGCAAACCTTTTATAGACAGAAAAATACACGAACATATATTATTGCTTGACATTCAATTATGGCTAAAAGTTGCTTGTTCGTTTATTTTATTTTTTTTAAACTATATTGTTAATTTTACTTAATCATAAATTCTTATCACTTGTGCTTTGGAGGAAAAAAAGCGATAATACGATGCAGTGACGGGTTTGTAATTAGGGCTGTAATATAACACCTGATTAACAATTTACAGTCTGGACTCCAGAAGGGCTCGAGTGCAGGATCTATTCTGACCCGACTGATAGTAAAACACGTTTAACGTCTGCAGACTGCTGAATTGCTAAAGGCATTTAAAAAATAAATAGATAAAACGAAAAGAAGAAAAAAAACCTACTTATTTGAGATGGATCAAGCTCGGCCTTATCAAAACATCCTCATCTTTTCAAAACTCTCCAATAAAAAGTCCAAAAATAAAATCAGAACCTCTTCGTTCACTTAACCCTGTCCCTCTGTAATTATTAAAGCCTTGTCTGGGTTTTTTTTAAATTCACACAGTGAAAAACAAGCATACACACACTCGCACGCACACACACTATTGCTTTTTTCCTTCCTTTTTTTTTTTTTTTACAAAAAGACAACATAGTAGAGACAAAGAACAGCACATTTTACTGGATACTAAACACTGATTGAATAGCACATGTAGCATCAATTAATTCAACTGGGATTTCTCAAATAAGAATATATTTATAGACGTATATAAAGTAAAATAATAATAACCATTCAGGTGTAATTAATAACTAGATACAAGTACTCGTGTGTTGGATGTCTGTTTTCTGGTCTCCAGTCTCTAAAGCAAGCATGTGAAGACTGAAGGGGCTTGTTGTCCTAAACCGTGTAAACAGACTGGATGGACAAAGTCAATTAACTGTCATGTAGAGACCCGTAGTTGTAATGCAAGGCATATTGCTTGGAATATTTTGCAGAACGCGTGACAAGTCACTCCCTCGAGTCAAACTCGAGTGAAATCAGGACTAACCTTTGACCTTTCGGTGGCAGAATTGAGCTGGTCACATTAGTTGTCAAATAACTTTCAGGTATTGCAAAACAGTTTCAAAAATAATCAGCCAAATTTCAAAAGTGTCTTTTCTAGGTACCAGCCAGCATACGTAGGTGGGCCCCATATGGAACATGTAGGGTTAGGGTTGTTTTCCCAGAAAAAAAAGAAAAATTTATGCAAGTCAATGACACAATAAAAGATATTTTCTAATCTCGTTTGTTCTGGGTCATGGATATCACATATGATGTATGTGGATTCGATGCCAAGAAATCGCTTATTTTCAAACGGCAGCAAAAGTTATTTTAGTTTTGGTGTAAAAAGACGCGTAGGACTACAAATGTTTGTCTCACCATATTGAAGTCATCAAAATAGACACCCCTGCTGAAAAAAACCCAGCATAGACCAGCACATGTTGTGTTTTGTTGGACCAGCATCCCATGCTGAACCACCAGCATCCAAGCCAGAATCCAGCAGGCTGGTTTTTTCAACATGGATGGAGAAGAAAATGGCAGTGAGTTTAGTGACTTTCGCATCTTTCTCCAAGGATGACAGAAGGAGCATTAAACGTGGGGAAAACCAAAGCAAACAGTCTGGCCATGTGATAAGTAAGTGATATGCTGCAACGTCTGATTTGTAGTCCTATTATTTACGCATTTTTAAAAGCTAACAAATCTTAAAGTATGTGACAGACATAGTTGAAACTCACATTATTTCTTTTCATTTACATGGAAGCACAACGCATGTACGATTCAGGGCATAAGGCAAAGCAGATTAGAAAATAGCTTTTATAGCCAGTTGCATTCATATTTTTGTTGTTCCGGGGACCCATGAGCCGACCGGAAAGGGAGGAGACTTAGGCTCCCTACGGACGTGCGTTATGGTCCTAACTGGTTTCTTCTGTGGTTTAAGGGTTTGCCAAGTCCCTATGAAAACCCACGTAGGGCCCGTTGACAAAACCTGTAGGGACCCACAATGTATGCCCACATGAGGGGCCCACCTATGTATGCTGGCTGGATTAGCTCTGACTGGACAGACGAGCTAACAGCTAGCCACAACGGGGTACAAGACACACACATTAAATCATCCAAATGATCCCTTTAACTATGTTTTCTGCTCCGAGCTGCATTTTCGTCCAACTTGTTACCTCCCTGAGCGTTCACGCCTCATCATCTATTATTTGCTGCTCTTAAACCTGGATTGTCTAGCAGTGCTCCAGACTGGGCTTGTTTGCTCTGAGATTGAGGTTAACTAGTCGCAGAGGGCTTGTGCATATCCAAAAGAGCATTGGATCCTAACAGATACAGCAGATCTACAGTAACCCAAACGCAACAAATTCAGTATTGCATAAGAATATTTGGTTTTCTAACAAAGAGGGTAATAATTAGTACAAAACCCTGATGACACCATTTTAAATCAAACAGCTTTTTTTTTTTGCAGTGAAAATTCTACAGCTTGTAAAAGGAATTAATTTTCTTCAAACATGGATGAGGCCCCCGCACGGACATGGGAAATAAAAATAAAAGCTGAAATCTTAATTTCAACTACTTTTCCAAAGATCATCCCTGAAATAAGATAGCAAAAAAAAAAAAAAAAAAAAAAAAACACGATGAACACAAACGTCCTCTCAAACAGAAAAAAATAAAAATAAAACTCTTCCCTGAGGGGTGACAGCACAAGGCATTAATGTCCTGTGCAAATTGCACGGCAGAGGAATGATAGTGTGCAAACAGAAAGAAAAAAAAAAGGATAAAAACAAACTTGATTTTATGTTACAGTCGGTGACAAGACGCATTAACATGCTTTGCTGGGTTTCTAAAGGGATATCACTTTTTCTTCTTTTCATTTTTTTGCTCTTTTTTAAAAAGATATTTCTAGAAGCCGCGACTCAGATTGCTGGAATGTCTCAGGAATCCATTCTACATTAAAAACGAGTAGACTGGAAGCAACGACTACTGTTTGGCACATCCAGGGTCTTTGTTTTTTCTTTTTTCTTTTAAACCACTTCACTACCACACTGACAAGAAAAGACACACTCAACAAAACAGAAGCACAACAACAAAGCATTCTGAAAATAGCACTTGTCCTACCGTTTTATGCCTCTCCCCATTATCCTAAACTAGTCTAATTATTGCAGGGATACAGTTAAGTGCTACCTGACATCTTTTTTTCTCTCCCTCGTTCTCTTTCGTGAGTTTATTAACCAAAACAAGTTACAAAAATAGAAGCTTTGCTACCAGACAAGGCTTTGAATATTCACGTTCCCTTCGTGGGTTTCATCTGTTCCGGCGCTGCTGGGCTCAGGCGATGAGAAGGCAGAAAGGACACCAGACAAAAGGTCATATCTTTGCTTTTAGGGTTGACTTTGGACCTCTGCCACATTTGCTTGTTGCATCTTTAACGCCCACTAGGTGGAAGAGTTGGATTACAAGCTGAAAGTGTTTAATCTCATGGCGATTTAGCAGATTTTTGTAGGCATCAATTCAGTCAACCAACCTATGTTTATATTTATATCAGAATCAGAAGGGTTTTATTGCCATATCAGCGAGAAATCACAACATTAGGAAATTGCTGTGATACTGGGTGCAGAAAAGAAAGATAAAAAGATGTGTGTTCAGAGAAATGCTAAAATAATCCAGGGCTGATGGGCGGTAAATGTGTGTGTGCACGCTCTCTTAAAAGAGGACAGAACATCTTTTTTTCTAAATAAAGGCGACACTGGCAGTTGTTGTGGAAACCGATGAAGGAGCGTCTCTTCCTCGCCTTCTCATCCATGCCTTTTTTGTTTTGTTTGATCAGATTCCAGCAGGCCTGCCAGCAATCCTAACAGACATCCTGAACACTTCCAGACAAATATCATCTGCAGCTCTCCACCTCTGTGACCATGATTCAGCTTGTATTTCTTGTGCACATGCAACACATCACTAGATAAATATACAAGTCTTAAATAAAAAAAGGTGTAAATAAAAGTGCCTTATCAATTCAACAATTAAGAATGGTCTAACTACTAATATCATACATGTTATTTAAAATAGATTCTATAAACATTACTTTTTTCTGTATAGTAAGTACTTATGACCATATACCCTGTAGTACATTATAAAACAGGTGGAATGGACCCTTTTCTGTGCTTTATCAGGGCACCTGTCCAGAGAAGGATTAATAGCAGATGGCCTTACATGATTTTTCACTATGCAACAATGGTGGATGGAGTCTTTGACAACTAAAATCATTGTGGTTTTCATTAGAATTACCAGAATTCTAGGTTTCTTCTTTTTTTTTTGTTTGTTTTCTTCTTTTAAGCGATTGTCCATAGAGAAGCGCCGGATGTCACCATAACAGTGGAACTTCCCGCAAAGTTGCTGTGAGTTTTCTTTCCAAAGACCGTGTCCCAGAAACGAAGATAGAACCAAACACAAAAAAGAGAGAGGGGAAGATGGCTGAACTTGACCATCATGTGAGCACTGGTTGGTTTTTTGTATTCCAGTTTTAGCATTAAATGATATGAAGATGACAGATTTGTTCATGAAACCACTAAAACCGTTTAAGAAGTACAATCTGATCAATAATACTGACGTGGTGATCTTATTTGTAAAATTGCTTTATAATCTTTTACATCCACTGATAATTCATGATAGAGGGAATGAATACTGGTGAAAAATAGTTTGTAAAAGTGCGGAAGATGGTCAAGTTCAGCCACTCAGAAGTTACTTTTTCCTTTCTCCTCTTCATGTGACTGTTGGGTGTTGGGTCGTCGCTGGGCGTACAGTCCCTGTTGAGTCCTCGTTGGGTGTTGGGACCCCGTTGGGTGTTGGGACCCCGTTGGGTGTTGGGACCCCGTTGAGAACTAAACAAAGTAAACCTTGACAATCAGCTCCCTAATGCCTTTCCCCCTCCAATGTTGAAAGAAAAAGTTGAACAGCGTGCCGTCAGTCCACTCTGGTTTGTGCAGGGCACCAATAAAGTGTCTCAGATTCCTCCTCCACATCACCCCCTCCCATTCTCCTCCTCCTCTTCCTCCTTCTCCCCCACCTCCTCCCACGGCGGGTACACTAGCACCTGGCAGGGATGTGCTACCCATCGGCGGGCATGGACTGCTCAAAGTCTGATCCAAACAGCTCCTTATATAAGGGGGGGAAGTGGGCACGCACAATGTCTGGGTATATTGCTTTGAAAGCCGTGAGCTTCTCTGTATGCCTACTGCACAGCGCTCGCAGTGTCGACACTTTGCATATCAACTGTGGAGAGAGACGAGACAGGCTGTTTAGATTCACAACGAGGCAAGGACATGGAGCAATCGCAGTGAGAAAGAAAAAAAAAGCAGCATTCCTCCCTACAGTGTTTTCTATCCCACACAGGGGCAAACAGACTCACAAATATTGAGACAAGCACTCAGGAGCACGGAAAACCTGACACGTTCTATCAAAGAGCCGAAACAATTGATAAATTGCCACTTCTCTGCTAATAAAAGGGATTTTTTTCCTGGTGCTTTATGAATGTGTCCCCTGAAATCTCTTTTCACTTAATTTAATATAGAATAAGTGGTTCAAGGCCCGCGGATGAGTCCTAAACAAGCTCATGTTATGCTGCTACAAAAGTAGAGCAAGCTAAGCAGACAAATACTTTCAGGGGTGATAAATGTACCGCTTTGTACCTTAGTAAGTATACCATCCTCTCTGTGATTCTTTTGCAAAACGTGCTGAAGGGCCAGCTGGATCTTCTGCTGGAGTTTCTCCACTTTTACCTTCTCCTGGAGCCAGGATCGGTCTGTGAGGTCAAAGGTCACAACTTTATTTACAGGAAATCTTTTAATCATGGCTGCAATACGTTAACGTTTAGACAATGAAAAACCAGTGGTTATTGTTGTGGCGAGCGACTGCAAGTTTTTTCCCGTGTTTTAGATTTTTTTTTTATGTGCAGTGACTGACACCTACCAGCAGACATCAACACAAAGGCAGAGAACAGGGCGATCTCATCCTCAGACAGGTGCATAGAACACAAGTTTTTCCCAAACTCGAAGACGGAGCTGATCAAGTCGTCACAGCCTGCCACAGCAAAGGACAGAGAGAGGTAGAGAAGGGGGCTCAGGATGAGGAAGACCAAAGAACAACATTCCCCCTTGATCTTTATTGGGAGAGAGGCACGTGGGGAGGGGGGAGAGGAAGGCGAAGGGGATGAAAATGTGCAGCATGCTGACAGCACACGGGAGCATCTTAAGCAGAACAGGCAAGTGCTTTTACTGAGTTTTGCCTCCCAGACGAGCCACTTTTGGCAGCTGGGTGGTGTTATGCAAGCTAAAATGAGGTCACTATAGAGGCTTTTAGTTAAATCAATTATTGGGGACAGAGAGAGACAGGCAGATGCCGCCGCGGCTCGGGACGCCCATCACTCTCCCTCCTCCCTTCCATCGCTATCCTCTCCATTTGTTAGAGAGACACCAGGACAGATGCTAACATCCAAACTCATGAAGAACAATAAACTGGCACAGAAACAGAACTGCACGTATTTACAGTCACTGCGGGACATATTTGAAATTTCCCCTGTCAAAAGAGGATTTAAAGCATAACCATAATCAAACACGATGGCTATTTGCCTTCAACTGGGATGTTTTATGTCAGACTATCAATGATGGGTTTGATAGAACCCTCCCCTAAGACGCTCCGTCTGGCTTTATTTATTCCACAGTCCCGTGCGCTATATGCAGCAGAGCCTCACCAACGTCTCTGTTCTACCATAAATAACCGCTGAAGAGACAGAAAATGCCAGGTGAGGATGGGATGAGCGCGTCGCGTTTGCTGCTAGGCCTTCAGCATCGCGCACACAAAAGAACAGCCGACTCTAACTTTGGCTGTTACTCCAAGGAATGGTGAGTGAGACACGGTGAGGAAACAGAAACAAGCAGCTCATCCTCATGCACACACACCACTTACCTAATGATTTGAACACGTCAGGTCCGGCATATTTCCCATCAAAGTAGACTGTGTTGTTTTGCGAGTCAAAGGCACGGCACATTCTGACAAACACAACTTCCAGAGAGCCTGTGGAGACAGACAGGAACAAGATGCCAGATCACATCAGGCAGAGGTGCAAAACACACGATTACGCCTTGTGCTAATCTTCCACAAAATGAAAAAAAATAAATAAATAAAAAATCCATTCTGAAACAGAGAAGGCTCTTGTCAGATGATAAGACAAAAAAAGGCCTTTGCAGATGAAAACATCATTGATGCACGCTGAGCAAAATAAGCAGCGACACCACTTATTCAATTTTAGCTCAAAATGTGTTTAATGGATTCTACAATTTGCACCACGCTGTGGGAGAGGGTGTAGCTGGGCCTCCAAAAGTCTTATTCTGAACGGTTGAAGAGAGGTTTTGTGGAACCGTGATGATTAGCAATGATTATTTCACCTGCTGCAGATAAATCTTTTTCAGTTTAGAGAATTTAAATCTGACCAGATTGACAAGCTAACAGCTAGTCTAATGTAGACTGCTGCTATGTTAAAGACCTCTAATCTTCAACATTTGACTGCAGTCCACGCGGACATTACTTAACACATCTCTACCTTCCTGTTAATTACCTAGCACGCAACTCATTTGTCAGAAATGTGATGATTATCCCGCCGCATGTCCTATGGTCGCTGCTGTTGTAAGCACTTCCAATCAACAATTGTCATGGCAACTAATGGCATTGTAAAGATCTATAAATGTTAGCTTTTATTAACAAGTCTATGTCGGTCTAGCTGTTAGCTCATCAATCATATCCAAACAAATAGGAACTGGGTTAAGTTTTTGGGTTTGTTTCTCATTTGCTGTTTTCTATAGTTGTGCTTATTTGTTTGTTCTCTTTTTCTAGCGTTTTATGTTTAGTATGTTTGGTTTTAGTTACTGTTTCCTTCTTGTGTTCGTTGCCATGTAATTCCCTTGGTCATCCTCATCACTCAGCCTCACACCTGTCCCTCGTCTGTTATTCAGCCTTGCTGCTCTCACACTTAAGTCTGATTTATACCTCTCCATCAGCTCCGCGATGGAGAGACGCACACGCATTGATGTAGACATTTTACTTTAGGACGACTCCGTCATCTGGGGAGTGTTGCAAAGCAACTCCCCGCCAGGACAGTAGAGGGCGTAGTTCTTTTCTGTGGTATCCTGCCACCATTACAGTCACACATCTGGTCCACAATAGTGAATTTACCAATGTGTTTATATTGATTTAATGTATTTCAGATACTCAATAACACAGACAAATTGGTCCCTCATTCTCCTCCGTCTCTTCCTGCGATCGGCAACTCCAAAGCCACGTTTCTCGCAATTTCCGTCCACAAAGAAAACGCTTGATGCGTATCTTTGTACTCCTTCGTCACGAGTTACTAAACGTTCATACTTTCGGACTTATTTCCTGAGGCACTCTTTAATCTGTTCTGTGTCTGCCGCTAAACTTCTTTTCAGTTTTTGACTGGGCAATGGCGAAGCTTTTGACAAGTTTAAAGAAAGCAGCGTGCGGACCAATCACAATGTTTCAACGGATAGTTAAAAAGTTGGGCATGTCTCCGTCAGCCTCTGTGAGCCCGTCGGAGAGCCCTTGCGCCAACACATAATGACGTTGAGTGTCTCTATACTAATGTAGAGGACTTTTGATCCTTTATTTTAGCTGCAACAATCCTGATTCTACCGAACACACACTCGCCATGGTTATTGATGAATGGAACTAAAGCAATAAAACCTTTGCAGTCCCTTTTTATCGAGCTTTGGTTTTTATAAGTGATTTTAACAACCTTGTTTACATTTATTTATGATTATTATAATTTTTGCATTTATTCTTTTGCCTTCAAATCAACATATTTATTTTATTAAAAAACACTCATTGTAATCTCTCTTTCTTGAAATCTAAGGCTATCTGCAACAAGTAAGATACTAATTGTTCAAAACCCCCTTCCCAGACTCTGAACTATCCCTTTCATGTGAACGCATGTCCAGAAAAACGCCCTGGAACACGCTTTTGTTTGCTGCAATGCAATGAGGAGAATCTTTCTGCAGTTGTGCACAAATGAGGGAGACGGCGTGTAAAAAAGCAAACAGCGGTGTTGCACGTGCTCTTCTGTGAGTACATTATCATAGGAGCTGTTTGAAGAGACATCTTCCATCTCCGGGAAAACAAGAGCGAGACGGCAGCGAGGACGTTATTAGAGCAGAGGAACACATGACTTATCTAACACTGTGTCCGTCTGTGCTGTGTGTGCAGGGAACAGAAGGAAAACGGAGAGACAAGAGTGGAAAGGGGGAAGCGGGCAGGGCGGGGTCTCCTGTCTGCGACACGGTGCATGTGAAGAGGAGAGCTTTGTGCAGTCAGGTCAGCTACACCCTTGTGACAACGCCAGAGAGGTGCAACGGCGGCGGCAGAGGTGGGTGAGTTTGATGGCAGCGGGCCATGTTGACAGGCTGTCATACCTGCTTTCAGCAGCACTATCTGATCGTTCTGACACAGCTCCATGAAGCCGTCGATGCGCTTGGCAAACTCCACCACATACTGAATGGCCTCTGTTATTTTGATAGCACACAGCTGCCACATGACTTCCCGGGGCTGAGGACAGATAGGACAGAGAATGGGTTATCAGCTTTAAAACAATGGTTTTGATAATCAGGGGTGCCCAATCCTGGTCCTGGAGGGCCAGTATCCAGCAGGTTTTGTGGTTTCCCTGCTCCAACACACTTGATTCAGTGGTTGAATCACCTATGCAGCAGCTCATCAGGCTCTACAGAAGCCCGTTAATCACCTGCTGATTGAATTCAGGTGTGTCGAAGAGGGGTTAAACCTAAAACCTGTTGGATAACGGCCCTCCAGGACCAGGATTGGGCACCCCTGCGGCTAACTGCTCAGGAGCTAGCCTAGGTTGAATCCAACAACTACCTTGCTCTGGTAGTTCTCCACCTCCTCTTGAAGGAAGGCCTGCCAGGTCATCTGCTGCAGCTCCTCCCTCAGGTACTGACACGTCTCCATGTGCGACTTGGAGATGTTCTGGGCCAGGTGCTCTGAAACGTAGACGTCATCACAAAAATGATTGCAATTGAGATCTGCAAGTTGGTCACAGGGCTATGTGAAAGTGAAGACCTTGAAATGCCACAGGAAAATTAGATTTATTTACTCAACTCTCACAAAGGGGGGAGGCGGATACGTGTGGGCTTTTTTGGGAGGGGAGAAAGCTTGTTGACATTTCCTTATACTGCCTGCAGGAAGCTCATAGCTTAAGGTTTAGGCAAAGCCAATCTAGTTATGACACAAATGTATGGGTGTGTGTGTGTGTGTGTGTGTGTGTGTGGGGGGGCACGTTACTCACTGAAACAAAGGTCACATTTTTTCCCCGAGAAATATTGAGCGTAGGAATTTAAATGGTTTTGAAAACACATCTGTTAAAAGGAGTTCCTAGGCACGAGGGAGCCTAAAAAAATGATTTCCCCAGACGCCTGCCCTGCTGGATCCTGATTGGCCCTAATTAATGGAAACTAATTACAAAAAAGAGGCTCTTTTAATGAGTGTTGGAGATGAGTCTCCAACCTCCTGCTATTTTAAGCAACCTTTGTGTAGTTTCCCCATGGTTGAGTTGTTCTCCACCCCCCCTCTGCGTCAGTCTCTCCTTTAACCTCTTCTTTTTCTTTCCTGCTCCTTACCGAGTTCCGCCATGGAAACGGTCGGGGAGGTCTCGCCGTTGGTGAAGGAGCAGTACGGGAAGAAGCCAGAGCCGGGGGCAAAGTCGCAGATGGGCTCCGGCTTGATGCCGTTGATGTCCAAGCCCGACTGATCTGGAGACGGCTGGATGTCCAGGTAGAAGCTGCTGACCGCCGAGTCTGGTTTGCTGCCATCAGGTGTGTGGCCGTCCATGTAGCCGCTGAGGTCATCGTGGAGCTCTGTGAGGCCGTTGGCCGAGAGGCCGTAGCTGGGTGTGAGCGGCTCGGCTTCTCCGGGCTGCTGCTGGTGGTCGCGCTGCTGCTGCTGCAGCCGGTGCTTCTGGACCTCAGCGTACAGGCTGTCCCGCTGCTTCTTTGACATGCGGCCAAACTTCACCGCTGTTAGAAAGAAGATGAAGCAAAGCACAAGCCACACAGATAATTATCACAAGCACATTTACCCCGTGATCATGTTTACACTTTAGTTATAGAAAGCTTTTGTTAAATTCTACAAACATCTTCTGCAACTTGAAGTGGAACTGTGGTTCTGCAAATAAAATGATGACACGGTAAACTGAAAAATGATTGCTTGAGGAAATAAAATTGGACAAAATGTTCAAGTTATTTTGAACTCCTGCTTTCTATTTTACATGCTTTATGAAACACGTTTGGATTTTCTCCCATTCTTAGTGGCCTGGTGGTAGAGTGCACTGGGAGCACTGGGACTGGGAGATCGGGGTTCAAATCCTGGTCGGGTCCTACCAAAGACTAACAATGGGACCCAATGCCTCCCTGCTTCACACTCAGCTTTAAGGGGTTGATTGGGGTGGGGGTGGGTGGTGGGAGGGGGGGGGAAGGGGGGGATGGGGGTTAACCACCAAATAGTTCCCGAGTGCAACCACAGCTGCAGCTTACCGCTCCCCTTGGGGATGGGTGAAGTGCAGGGATGAATTTCACCAGTGTGTGATGACTAATTGGACTTCACCTTTTAACTTTAACATTTCAGGTTTTTATTTATTTATTTATTTATTTATTGCTAGAATTTTCAGAAATCTGAATTTTTTTTGGCCATATTTGGCATCTAGGTGCAAAATGCTGGTTTCACCTGGAAATTTTAACAAAGAATGTGATTAACCTGCCAAATAACCGAGACACTAAACCAAGTATGTCCAAAGTAAGGCCTGGGGCAATTTGTGGCCTTTCCAGAACAGTGGAATAGAGTCTTTCCAGCAGGCTGTTAATGTGGATTTTTAAGATTTTATGTACAGGTTTATTATTATGAAGCTGTTTTTGTGTAGTAGAAATCCAAAAAGTCATCATGAAATCAATGTTGCATTTTTTAATTAATATAAAAAACACTTTTGAGAATTGCATGATTTTGGCCCTTGTCATGAAAAGTGTTGACACATCTGATGTAAATCTATGCTAATCTTCATTGAATCACATCCAAATAACATTAAATAACACCACGAGAAGTCACATTTCTAAAACGGTGGGATGCTGAAAGCAAAATAAATACAGAAAGAACACTTTTGGCCGAAAAGAACAAAACTAAACCATCCAGGTATAGCATGAACTGTTCCTTGTTCTGATAACTATATCGAACTGTTTGAAAAGATCAAGACATATTTATTTGGATGTTTTTCATCCTTGAAAAATAAACATAAATCTGCATTTCTTTACAAGACTGTTTGGTCGTAGACGTCTGAATGCAGTGAAGGTTTGACGCAGAGCTGCTTTGAAAGCTGTGATTCACAGGCTTAGCTGAAGCACGGTCTCAGCCAACTCATTTAGTCGTTTTTTTCTAAAACGACAGGTTTGATCTGTCTTCTCTGTTGAATTTCAAAAACATGCAAGTTTCTTATGGTACTTCATTGTTTTCAGTAACCTCCCTGCTTTAAAAGGCATAATGCATGCATATGTTATAGCAGCGTACTCATATTTGTCCCAAACTTGCATTATTCACAAACCTTTAATGGTCATGATAACAACATCCTCTAGATTTGTGCTTCTGTCTAAAGTAACATGTCAACGTTAGATGACAGGAACTCGGCTACAGCCATATATTCATACTGAAATGGGGCAGAATTCAGTTCCAAAAAGCACACAGTCCTATGTGGTATGTAACAAAAAAGTAAAAATCAATATTTATAAAATATGGGATGAGTTTCTGACTCCTGTTTTAAGGTTCTTAGACTAAGCAGACATGTCGAGAGTGAGACTTCTGGGCCTAGCAGTAAGTCATACTGTGTGTGTGTGTGTGTGTGTGTGTGTGTGTGTGTGTGTGTGTGTGTGTGTGTGTGTGTGTGTGTGTGTGTGTGTGTGTGTGTGTGCTACCATGAACAATTAAAAAGCACATGGAGCTACAGAGAGGAGAGAGAGGGCATTTGGACTCTGGTGTGTTCGCTGAAGGTAAGAGTCACCTTCGTCTATCCCAAATGTGTACGTGAAAGAATATTGTGTGTGTGTGTGTGTGTGTGTGTGTGTGTATTATACGGAAGCACACACACTTCTGTGTTCATTCATATTCATGAGTGCGCCAGTGTATAAAAGTGCCAGTCTCTGTGAATCTATGTTCTGGTTGTCGCTGCATGTCTGTGCCATACCTGTGCGCGCGCACACACACACACACACACACACACACACACACACACACACACACACACACACACACACAATAATGTGGTCTCCTCAGTTCGGTCTGGTCTGGACTTGTCTGACAAAGATGGAGCGCTCCTGCACAAGTGCCTGCCTATGTGCTCCCATTACTGTATCTCAGCTGCAGCAGCAATAACACACTCTAACGACCTCAGGTTTTATGAAAAACGGGTTTCTCTAACAGCAACAAATTAAAAATAATCACTCGCGCACTCCTGATGGACAATGAACATAAATGGACAAGTTCTCATGAGTAGTTTGGACCCTTTCAAAAATAACATCGACTTGTTATGATTCAACTTTTTTTTTCTGTTCTTTCCACCAGGATTCTAATTAAACTCAACAAGAAGTTTAAAATTAATAATTATTCTGCAGTAAATGGAATAAAATCTTGGAAAATTATGTAAGTAAACAACCGATTAAAAGTAATTTTGAAGTATTGAAACTGAGGAGCAAGTATCTAATAGTTGTTTAACACCAGGTCATCCCTCTGGCTGTGACGAGGGCTGGTGTCCAAGTGAACAGGATAAGCTAATTAAACTTGTAGAAGAATACTTTTTTACTATCAGAAATCTTTTAAAAACTCAAAATCTCCCTTATTAGTACTACTTAGTACTACAATGGTGCCAGCAGTGGGATTCCTTTACATGAAGCACTTCAGCCACTTATTGTATATTTCACTTCTGCTGCACCTTTACCTTTTTTACTTTGCCACAACAAGCAATTAAACTCCACCTTTTACACCACACAACACCAATCTACCTACTTGTTGCTCCTTGTCTCTCAACTCACTTACCGTCTCGTGACATTCCCACTGCCAGGCACTTCTGCAGCCTGCAGTGCTGGCAGCGGTTGCGGCTGGTGCGGTCGATCAAGCAGTTTTTCTGACGGGGGCACGAGTAAGCTGCATTGCTCTGCTGACTCCTCCTGAAGAAGCCCTGAACAGGAAAAAAGGGAGAGACGGGGCATGGAAACACCTTAGGTTGCCGAATGAATCTCTGCGGGTGCAAACATCTTTTGGCACCAAAGGATCAATTTACGTCTTCATTGTGTTTTAATGTTGACACAATTTATGGCGGGCGGACGGTGATTTACTGTACTGCTTGCTGTGATATTTTTACTTTTACTGCTGGCAAGCTGAAACATAACTAAACTATGGTGGTGTTTTCCTGACTGCCATGTTTTACTATCTGGCATTTAAAGAGCAGCGTGTGTGTAGAGCACGAGGGCGGTGTGTTTAGGGTAGGCCTGATAACAGCGGATGGTATTTTTCTTCACTGGAGTTATTAGTGTTGATTAATGCGGTGCTGGCATGTGCGCTGCTAAAGGATTGCGAATGCACACCGACTGGATTCCTCATCCTTTGACTTAATGAATTGATTCCAGCACATCATTAACATGCCCCACTCTACTGCTCCATACACATATGTCTTAATTAGCTGCTCATTGGCTGTTTAATTACAAGAAAACAGCTGACAGCTGCCAAGTTGCTTTATAATGGAAGCCATTATGGAAACAGTAAAACTGCCAGTGACAAGCAGCACTCCTTAATAATGCAATGATTTATGGTCCAAACTTTTGTACTTGCACATATCATTAAAGGCCTTTTTCTGCCTAGACTAATTAGCAATCATTAAAGATAGATTTCAGCAGTTTATTCTTTACTGTTTCATCCCTTGCAGCCCACCGTGTTACAAAGAGAAGGAGAGGCGGGAAGAGGAGGAGGAAGAAGAGCTGAAAGGAACCTCTTTTTGTCCCCTCCTGGTGCACACAGACGCACACAGACGCACAGGAGCAAACAGCAAAGGTGGAGGCTGGCTGAGGAATGCTAATGATGTGCCTGGTGACAAGCACGGGGACAAGAATACACGCTAAGCACAAATTTTCTCTCGCTGTGACTGGCTGGTGTATTTGAAACAGTACAAAAGGTGGCTTCAATGGGAGAAACACACTGTAGCAAACAGCCAACAATCTGCTATAATTCAAAGCTCTCTCCTTTTGATCATTCCGTTTCAAGAAGAGCAGCAGAAGCAAGAAAGAAAAGAGAAAACAGTGAAAGGAAAAGACACGTCCCTGGGAGGGAAGAGGCAGAGCAAGGCGAAGCAGTGACTATGTCCTACTAATTGTGGTTTTCTGTGATGTCTTCAGTGGTGCTTGACCACTTTAATGATCACGCTCTGTGTGTTTACACATCGCAGTCCCTCTGAATCACTGTAAAACTTCAGCAACATTTTCTGATGTTGGGGCTTTTTTCCAGCAACTTTCTTTACCTCTCCCACTTTTTCCCCTCTCGTTTCCTGCATCTCATTCTCTTAAACACACACACACACACACACACACACACACACACACACACACACACACACACACACACACACACACACACACACACACGCACGCACGCACGCACACACACACCTAACAGGTCTGGTATCTTGGTGCTTACCTTACAGCCTTCACATGTTATCACTCCGTAATGGATGCCTGATGATTTGTCTCCACAGATCTTGCAGGGAATTATTTCGATTTGAGCTGCGGAGAAGAAAAGGAAATGAAAAAAAAAATCAACATTTTGCTGTCACGAGTCGCTGTACAGCGCTCTCACCATGGATCCATGTTGGTACATGAAAGAGCACGGTGCTTCTAAAAACATCTCATCCACTTGCTTTTGCATCTTCACTTCCACCAGAGTATTAGTAGAATATTTAGAGTTGTGTGTATGTGCCCGTGTTTGTAGGGAAGGATCCAATTTTAAGTCCTCCACGACAGCCAATATAAACACGGTGCTAATTTGCAACCAAAAACCCAATTTACATGGTAGAAAAAAATCACGACAGCTCGCCTTAAACCTCAGTATCACTACAGTAGTGTTATTATAAACCTTGAGCAATGACAAAAGCTCATTTGGCCACATGAGGAGGTCTATTCCCTGGTGGAAAACTTGACTTCATGCAGCCTCTTAAATTTCCAAACCATAAAACCCCCAGGAGCAAATCCACTGCAGCCACAAAGAACCCCAACATGCCTGCTGAGATGACTGTGTGTGTTTGTGTGTGTGTGTACTAAGATTCAGTGGTGGTTTGGCTGTGGTGTTGTGCTGCTGACAAGCATGTGATTCGCCCGCCTTACAGAGGACAAAAACACAGGGAGAGGACAGGCCTCATCCATCGCCGCTCCTTGCTTCAGGAACGGACCACGGGGCCGGGCAAACACAACAGGCAGAACACACAGACATCAGAGACCAGGAACTCCCAGCTCGTCCCACTGATCTCAGCTTTATCACTGCAGCCACTGATGCTACGTCTACCTCCACCTCCCCCACACCCTCCAGAGATCCCTATCTTGTAGCCCTCCTCCTCCACATCTCTGACATCTCGGTCCCGCCATCTCGACAGAGCGCCGCAGCTCCAGACAAACTATCTAATCTGAATCGAGGAATGATCGCTTAGGATTTTTTTTATCATGATGTAATTCTGCTTTTTTTTCTAATTCTAGCCATTGACGCATCCAACCAATCAGAGCTGAGTAACATGTAGTAAGTTTAACTTCTTGAAAGGCTTTAGAATGTTGTCAAGGCGTTACATCAGCGTCTCCCCTCAAACCAGGCCTAAGCGTCTGCTGCAACGCCTCAGGTCTCTTCTAAAGACAAAAGGCTTAAAATATCTTCTGCACACCTTTAACAACCAGCCTCTTTATTCTGGTTTGATCACATCAAAAGTGCTTTTGTTGAAGTTCAATCCAGAGATCCCTGCCCATTTTAATCAACTGCCTGGGAGCTTGTGATGTGTCATGTGGATAATGTCCTCGTCCCGGAGGCATGCCCGGGAGAGGCCCTTAACACAGAGCCTCTAATCCAGCAGCCCAGGAGCCATGCTCCGTTCATTCAGGGATCTCAAGTGTGTTCTCCTCGCACCGCTGGAGTCAACAAGACCAGCCGTGTTTATGAGGAATTAGCCCAGATTTGAGCAAAAACGAACAAAAGGGGATGGTGGAACATGCACCTCCTGCGATCAGTGACTCTCCCGTACAATAGAGGGGCATTGCACCTCACCGGCCCCGGATTAAAGCCGAATCCAGGCAGCAGGTGGGCTCTGACAGCCTAGCAGAAAGGGTTAATTTATAATTGATCTTTTCCTCACTGTGCACAGTGGCGTGTTATTTCATTTAGGTCTATCTCTGTATGACGGCACTCTATTGTTTGTTTTTGTGTTCTCACCACATGAGCATTAGCGGTGCAGTGTGTTTCAACTCCTTTAGCATTTTCAGCCTCATTACTTACATAATTTGTTCTGACATGCACTCACCACAACTGAAGCGTGCTGTAATTATGACTAGCTGTGGCTGTGGTGAACTCATGGCTGCAATGATGGGCCCCAGCCATTTGGTGGCAGTGCAGGGCTGCGTCTATGGTTGTCACACCGAGTTAAGCCAAGCTTTCCACCCACCATGTCCAACCCACATGCTTTTGGCTATGAGCTCCAGTCTCGGATAGCTCCAGGCTCAGGCTGCTGTTAGCTTCTACCCACCCCCACAGCATTGCACTGAGATGCCTTCATCTCTCCTGAAGAAGTGGAGTTGGCCGGGTGCTCGCTCAGGCCTGACAGAGGCTGTGCCACATCAGGTGGAAGCAGTGAGAGTAGACGCACAGGGGGTGCCAGGCTGGGCAGAGCATGCATTCACACAAGCCTACTTCACTAAAGCTGCATCTGCAGGAGAAAGGTCCAACTCTCTACCAATGCACAAGCCTGTGGATGCTAAGTGCACTCAACAGTAAAAAAATAAAATAAAATAGGGTTTGTCCCTGTACCAGCTGAGGTAGACTTAAAGTTTTTTATTTGAAGAAATCACGCAGTACATGCAGGAATGTGGTCTGCACCTAGAACGTCTGACAAGAAAGACAATTTCACCTGATTTCCCACAGAGGCGACTCAATCAAACACTTCTAGGCGCTTCCAATCTGGCAGTCAATATCTACTGACATGAGCTGTGGTGATAACTGCCTCTTGGTGTGAAACGGGCAGCTGCTGGCTCACTTGAGCTTGACCAGCCCAGTGCCACTGATCCCATTCACTGCGCCTGCCTGCCTGCCTGCCAGCCCTGCCTGCTCTGTTTACAACATCAAAGAAAGGCACAGCTACACAGGCAGCCATGCTGAAGCCCATCCCAGCAGCCCACCGGCTCCTTAAGGCACCGTGAGACGGCCCCTCCATGCAGGCCACTTCAAAGACACCTGCTGAGATGCCGAGATTATGTTTGAATCACACCACAGCCCAGTCACACCCAAGACACGGCCACCAGGGCTGAGCAGAAACTCAGGACCAATGTCCTGCACATCGCTTTGCAGCTTTGCAAAGGTGTCAAGAACGGCAAAGAGAGGAGACGGTCAATCAGAATGGCGAGGCTCGTTCTTTGTCTGTGGCTAAGCAGCTCAAGGACACTGATTCACAACACTAGCAGACCTTTGAGGGGATGAAGTGTGACTCAGTGCACATGTACAATGGGGCAGTGAGGCCATTGCATGTTCACCCAGCGCCCTTCACTGTCTTCTCCACAGCAGCCGCTAGAACAGTCCAGCACAATACGAGAGAGCAGGAAACTTAACGGGCAAGCCTGGACACACATAACCATCTGCCAATCATACATTAGCGGTCTTCAGAGGTCCTGAATTTGTTGATTTAATTTAAAAAAAATGCATGGAATAAGCACACAAACATTCGACCCCTTTAGAGAAAAAAGTGTATGGATACCGCCAAGGACTTAAAGAATAATTCATATAATGTGAGATGACTGCAGAATTTAGTAGCTAAAGCAGAAATCTGGAGTTTTCCTCTTTTCATGAATTATGTATCATTTTGTAAATATCCATAAAAGTGCAGTCTGACCCTGTTCTGTGATGTAATGTAGACAATACATCCATTTATTTATATTTTGATAAGCATGTCTTGTAGACCCCCATCTAACTTGACCGCCAGTCATCATTGGCAAATAGCTTTCGACATTTGCTTACATACAGATGTCAGTCACAGAGCGTGCGTGCGAGTTTGTGGAGGTACCTCGAGCTGTTTATGAATCTGCGAAGACACGGCGAATCACGGAGCAGCTACAACCTCCTTCACACCCAAAAAAATAAAATAAGATACATATTCCACTATATCCTGCTTCTACTCGAAGACAGACAAAAGTAAAAACAACACAGACTAAACTATTTACCTCAGGTCCGTTAACCGACAGTGAAAGGATCTCTGAGGTCAATTCAGATGTCGAACAGATGCAAAGTTGGCGACATTTCTTAGTGACGAGTATTACGTGTTATATATAAATAAATAGCATAACAAGGTAATAGTATAATAACAGTATAATAAGCACGTTCAGAGGCTTTGCTTCCAGCGGTATCATGGAAGCAGGGAGAGGGGCTTAATGGTGCAATACATTTTTCCACCTCTAGGCGATGCCCTCTGAGAAAACACTCTGGATTTCTGCCTTTCTCTAGTTTAGATTGATGAGAATTTGATATAATATCTCATGTATCCTTTTTGGTTTTATATTTTTGTCTCATAGCAAAATATCTGAACTGCAAACTAGCAGAACCTCATCCCAAAGGCGTGAAGGAAGCTGCCTATTTCAATGATAAATGGTAAATGTAACACCTTCTAGGGTTCTACATCCTGCCGTGGCACTTCACAACACATCCAGCCGTTCACCCATGAACACACACATTCACACGCTAGTGCTGATGAGCTGAAATGTAGCCACAGCTGCCCTGGGGTGCACTGACAGAAGTGAGGCTTCTGAACACTGGCACTACCGTCCCTCTGAACACCATCACCAGCAGGTGAGGTGGGTCTTGCCCAAGGACACCACAACTGCAACAGACTGAGCAGGGCTCGATCCCGCAACCCTCTGCTTATGAGCTGGGTACTTAACCCTTCTGCCACCGTTGTCCCACAATTAAACTCTCAGAAAGTAATCACTGAAGCTACAGCTGATTACTTTAAGGAGTCAACCCCATTTGAGTTGGCTGCCAGCTAATTAGCATTAGCTGAAACAAAACGGCTTTAAGTTCATGTACTTTACAGTTATTGTGCTAAGCTCTGATGTGATGATAGTCAGGAGTCATTCCCGTCATACGCACAGAGCGCAGATCACGTTAAAACTTGTGGTACGTTTAATTAGATACCAGTTTAAAACCAGCATTAAATGCAGTGGGAAATGTGTATTTCTCCAAGGATTAATAGGCCTTTAATTTTACTTTGTAACTAGCCTCTCCAAAATAAAAGTATCAACCCTGCAGCCTTGTGCAAAACGTCCAATCTCCAGTCAAAATCTCCTGGCAATGAAACACTGGAATACTGACATAACGCTGAAGGATTAAGATTATCCCTCACATTACAGACCAATGCCCTGGCCACCACCACCACCACCACAATGCTGGGAGCTTAACCCATTACTCGACTGGACCATTAAATCATTTTCTCATGGCCTTTATGAGCCACAAGACAATAAATGAAGCCTGAATGTTAAGCAGCAGTACA